TTCTTTCATTGAAATATCTTGTCTTTGAGAAGCTCATGACTAGTCAGGTCATCACAGTACATCAATGAATCCTCTCAGGGATGCAGCTGCTATTTTTTAAAAAATCCAGTAATGAGTTGAATAAAAATTTCCCAGCAAAAAAATTTAAAATTGTGGTGGCATTATCTGTTATGATATTTTATTAAAAAACCTTTTTATATTATTAATTATTATAATCTGGCAAAATGCTTAATTTTTAGGGAAGAGATGTATTTTAAAAAATATTGACAAATAAATAAAAAGCAAAATCTTCATTAAGTCCAATCCACTCGAGATATGACATACAATTCCTCTATCCCCATTCCCTTGACCTTTAGCCCCAAAATTTAATAACATCAATCCCATAATAGAAAAACCTCTGTGCAATATTTCAGAAATTTTCAATAAAAGACAGGAATTATTAAGCTTCAAAGTGAGTGAACAAACTTATGCCTCCCTCCACACATACACACATCATTACATTAAAAAAAATATATCTCTTGAGTCCAAAACTAAAAATCTTATGGGATCATTTTTTTGATTGATTGCCATGCTTTCCCTCTGTTAAATGTAACAGAGGGAAAGTTTGTATTTTTAATTAAAATTTATTAAAAATTTTCTTACAAATTTTAATATATATGTGTATATTATTCCTAATATACTATGACCTAATGATTCAACATGTTATTAATAAACGTTTTATATAATAAAAACGAAATTAAACCTTGTTTAACAATAAAAAAATATCATATTTTTTATTAGTAAACAAGTATAAACCCTCAATCAGAGCACAGTTTTGTGATGTATTACAGGTATACCTCGACTTACATCGTTTCAAATTACGTTGTTCCCGATTATACGTCATTTGTCAAAAAAGTATATGGAAAAATAAAACTCAAGTTTAAGTCATTTTACTCAACTTTACATCTGTCCGCCACAAATATTGAAGTCGTAATATCACTAGAAAAGTGTTTAAAGCACATAAAATCGTATTAAAATATATACATTTACAAGTATGTACTGTAGTTACAGTATATGCATTCGTAAATTTAGTTTACTTTATCTGTACTATATTAAAAACTAAAATTTATTTGTTTGTAAGCTTAAAATAGATCCTTATTAACCATATTTTATGAAAAATGGATTAATAAATAAAATACAGAACCGGAAATGGTAATTTATGGTTTAGCCTAGTGGCAAGTAGATTTGGAGACAAGTAAATTGGACTTACGTCGCCTCTCCTGGAACCAATTACCGACATAAGGCGAGGTATACCTGTATAACCCTACAAGGCCAAAAAAGGGAATCCATAGACCCATTAGACCCCCACTCACAACACATGTTTTTTTTTCATTTTAAAAAATTCATTTTTATCATTTCTTTAATTAATATCCACTCAATAATATAGATGAGTATAAATATTAAATAAATGAAAATATAGATTGCATAAATAAGAATGAAAAGATCATCATAATTAAACTTGGAAAGTTGAAATGCAAATTTCCTTTAAGAAAAGTTCTAAAAAATGATGGATTTTTGTAAAAACAAGTTCTCCTAAAAACATATAAAGTAAAACCATCATTTTATTGAGCATACAAATTATACATAGAACATGTAAAATGATAAAAAAATTTGAATCAGTCAGTCACTTATGGAATCTGATCTATCAATTTCATAGTTTACAAACAGAAAAGAATTGTACATGTAAACAACACAATTGTTCTATATTCTTCATAGTCAGCCCCAAATGGCATGAGGAAAGTAAATCTTTGAACTGAAAAAATAATCTCTCAACATCAACAAATGCAAGAGGAGCATATTTGTTTGACTAAAAACTCTACAGGTGACTGAAGAGACTCAGAAATCATATTTTGAATATTCAGATATTTGCTCAGGTAATAAGTACAGTAGACCCCCCCTATAATGCTTAGATACGTTCCACGCTAACCGAAAATTACGTTGTAGGAACAATTAAATACATGAGCCAATCGCAGCCCGATAGGTGGGAACTTTACGGACTAAGGCTGTTTGAAAGGTTTTCTTCTATAAAATTAACCGATTCTAGACTAATTCCACTCAACATTTCCAAAATACGTATAATTTTTTGGGAATAATCTGTATAAACTATGCTATAAACAAAAAATTATAGGATTACTTACCGAGTGTGTACCATTCGACTACGCCGTTGCTTAAAGCTGGTTTTCATCGCGGAACAGCACATTAAACGGCGGCCGCGATTTCTAATAACAAATTTTTCGCATAAAAATAACTTGACCTTTGGAGACATCATTAATATAAATAATTTTTATGGACGTTGAATAAGAAGTGTTTCTTTCACAAGAAATGTATAAAATTAGTGCTGTATTAGACTTACGGTACCTTATTTACATACTGTACAGACGATAATAAACTCAACTTACTAGCCTAAAATCTCCGTAGCTTGTTGCCAGGCGTCAGAAAGCATATATATAATTATAATAAAGTTACAATAAATTAAGTTAATATATAATTATATATACAGTACCTAATTTATATATAATTAATATATAATTATATGTACAGTACCTAATTTATATATAATTTATATATAATACTAAACAGACGATAGCAAACTCAATTTAGCCGCTCCGTAGCGTGGCGCAGGGTCAGAGGTAAGTAGTTCGGCTGCTCATCCACTATTGGTCCAGACTCTATCAATCTTCTCGCGAAACGACGTTATAGGAGGTACGTTATACGAAAGTTTCTACAATTTTTTCGCTACGTTATAGGAATTGTCGTTATAGGAACGTACATTATAGGGGGTCGACTGTATTCCAGTTTCTCTAAAGCAAATCCATACAACTTGGTTTTTCAAATTTTAAAATCTCCCATTGCTTCTCAGTAGACAGATTGCTTTCCTTAAGCTTCTTAGAAACCAAACTGCATAGGAACTCGTATGAATGATCAGTATAGAGTTTCTTTGGCATTGCTCCTTGTTTCAACCAACTCGAGTTTCATTGCAGCCACTGAAATTTTTCCTCCAATTTATCAATGAATGCTCCTATTAATGAAAAATTGTTGGCATAAAAAAAGCCACTTGAATCCACATATTCCACGTGGTTATTACAGGATGTTTTAGGAATGGCAAGCCAGTTATTTCTTTATACAGATGTACTGTACTCTACAGTACATTCATAGGACATTAATCAAAGACTTTTTCATTTCCAAAATGAAATTGTTGACCAAGAAAATTCTGTCCTAATTACTTCACATATCCTGTTAAGACAATTGGCAAAACAAGTCATATCTCTCAGATTTAGATACATCAACTATATTTGAGCATGCAATTAGCATATATAATGCCTGGTTTGGAATAGCAAAATTCCACTGTTTGGCACATGCATCATTGAAGGCCTGTAAAACAGTTGTAGAATTTGTCTTTTCTAATTTGTAAAATCTTAAGAGCATGGGCTGTATTGGCTCCTCTGTTAATGGATCACAATAATATTCAGCACATACCTTTTAGTACATCCATTGTTTCATCCAAAATACAAAAATGGGTTACAGGGTATTTCCTACTATTTCTTATATTTTTTCAAAAAGTTGCCTCATATGCAGGCTCTACATAGCTTTTCTTTACAAGACTTTGATCACAAATTGAGTGCTTGATATACTTTTCAAGGAAGTTTTTTTGATTTAATTTGTTTAAGTGAAATCCCTGACTGAGTTAAAGCTTTAGCCAGTTCACATGAAAATTCCTCTTGCTTGCATTGTCCTTTGCAAAATGTAATAATGCTGAAATAAAAATTTAGCCCTTCTTTTTGAGCTGCAATTTTCAAAAATTGTAGATCTATAAATTTCCACTGGCATCCATCTGTCTCTGTCTGTCCTTCCTTAATCTTGAGAATGGAGTTGGATTAAAGTTGAGACCAGGTATGGAAAGCTTAGGGGCAGGAGGTCCCAATTAATTATATTACAATACAGCACAGTTGGACTGGAAGTTATGTTATTTCAATTCAAAAATTTTCTCCTAAACGAAGTTTGATGGATGACCAGTATGACTCCATTTTTATTAACAGAATGCACATGATGCACAAGGCAAGACACTACTAGAACTGAGAGTATTGTGACAAAAATTGCAGCCTGAAATTGTGACAACATTACAATAAATAATTGCTAATCATCTTTAATTGTTCTTTCTTTCCCTGTTGTAAATATGTTTTGTATATTTAATATACTGCTTAACATGTGAAAAGAGATGCTTTTCATCAAAATTTATGGTAACATTACACAGTGCATATCTACTGTCATCAATTGTAATCCTTCGTTTTTAAAACTATTTACTAACTCCTTCAGTTTTTGTTTTGGTATCTTTGGCATTTTTTAAACTAGTAAGCTGTCATGTCACTGCTGTGTCCCTTCCTCATCTTTATGAACAATGGAATCATCCTTATTATTTTACATTGTAGGAAGATATTTAAATATCAAAAAAAGTTATTAATTACAAATTTAATTTCAAATTTATAAATACAAATATAAACAAAATATGCAATTTAAGTACAGAAAAGGAGGAAAACTATCAAAAGTGCTCAGCAGTAAAAAGACAGAAAAGGGGAACTGATATCTCTTCAAACAATTGTGAACTTAATAAAGAACCATCCTATATTTTAAAGCAGTCTCCTGTGCAAGTAATGAAAAAGGAGAGCACTTCAACTTTAATAATAACCGAATAACAACAATTTTTAGTAATAAATCTGCTATTGATAAAAACACATGATTTTTTTTAAGGTTAAACTGAAATTCCTGATATATCAAGGATTACATGAACAGGAAAGATCTAATGATTTATAAATTATCATCTGATCCACTAATATAAAATGTATATAATAGTGAAATGGTCAAAAACATAACAATTCTAGCAAATTTAGAAAATTTTATTTATCAATGGAATATAACTATGATTACTTCCATTATATTAGATATGAATTGAGTTATATGCTTACTTTTGGAGCACCATGTCCAATTGGAACATGAGGACCTCTTCTTGACTTTAATGCAAACCTCATTATTTGTCTTTTGGCAAATATAAATAATAATATAAAAGTCTAATAAAATAAATAAACAAATGTAATAAGTATTGAGAATTTATTTAAAACATACAATAGATATAAATTATGAAAAGTTTAATTTTTGGATTATTTAATGGTTTAATATTAAAATTAAAGTTTTAAATTATTTTTCAATAACTATAATTATTTTATATTTTTCTATTTTACTTATAAAATCAAATTACACGTATAAATTATCATCTATATATTTAATATATAAAATAATAAACTAATTTATCAATATATAGAAAGTTTTGCAATATATGATCATAACTAGAGATCAGATTTTGGAGAAATTGCTACTTTATTCAGTTCAAAGACAGCACTTTCTTGATAATTTATTTTTACCATATGTGAATCTACAGCCACTCTGAATAAATCCTATTGTGCTACTGTTTGTTACTTCTGAAGCTTTAGACACAGTTTGCTGAATCTTTCTATAGTTTGCTGTTATAAAGTTAAATAGTAAATTATAATAAAAATTATAATGTGGCTATTGTTTCCATTTTTGAATATGTCGTATAAAAACTAAGAAGGTCTTTTTTTTATTTATCATGGGATTAGCCAGGGCCACAACGAGAGTGGCCAAGTGTAAGAAACAGGGCCTGACATATTCGAGGCAGACCATCCCCAAAAATTTCTGGGATTGCTACCCAGATTTGAATCCAGACCTTCCAGAGAAGCCGCTGCCATAACCATCAGCTGGTGCCTGATGGTGACTTAACCACCTCAGTCATCAGGCCAAATGTAGATATTAATACTGTAATATTTATTACATTAAAAATATAACAAACAGCAAATTAAAACAGTAAATGAATTAAAAAAGTTCTCTTAATTGTTCATTCTCCTTCAGTTCTTTGTAATATATGCTAACAATAAAGATTTATTTTTGAATTTGCTACTTTTTACTACCTTTGAAACTTTTATTCAGATTTTTGTGACTACAAAATCTGATCTCTAGTCATAACTTTAGGAATTGATTCCTTACCTGAAAACAAGTTTAAAAAGTCATGTGAACATTTGCATTTTATAGTTATGAATTAGACTTAACTATGGGGAGATAATAAAGGATTTTTGTTACTAAAGCAGAAACATTCAATGTGGATAGTCAAAAATTTTATCAATAAAAATAAGACAAAAGCATTGAATTATTTTTCATGTTATTTTGCTACTTTTAAAAACAGTTTATAATTTTTCATAAAAATTATTTGACAATAGTTGAAACATCTGTGATATGCAAATTATATGCCCGTAGCAGTGCTAATTTTATCTCTCCTATAAAATGAATGTAAGTTTAGCAAAGTTCATGTTAGGAAAATAAGTGAGAAATTTTGAACAAAATGAATAACTGCAAGTTAAAAAAAAGAGAAGAAATAGTGATAAAATACAAAATAGCAAAAAGTACATTATTAATGATTAAAAAATTAAGAAAAAACTGAAACAGCTTACACAAAGCAGTTTGAGTTTATCCATAAATGGATATGAATTGAAAAAACTGAAGAAATAGAAATAGTGATTAAAACTTTATGTATTTTTTTTTTTTTTTGCTGATAATGTCAATAAGCTCTAGTAAAACTAAAACAGTTATAACATTTAAGGGACCAACTTATTTATGTTGTTATAACTGGGGTGACATTATAGCTGGGTTCCACTGTACCTGAGATAAACATGTAAAAATAGTGTGACAACTGTATGCATTAATACACTGATCCTTTATTACACTACACATTATACATTACACATCCATTGCTTTTAATGCTTAAAAAAGTCAGTAATTTTGCTTTGAGTCTTTGGCATTTTCCAATACATATTGTTTAAATTGTTATGAAGATGGGACAGAATAGCAAAGAATGAAGTCAATATTTTCAAATTGACAATCACTTTGTTGGAAATTGCTAGTGTAGAAACAGATTCCAAATTTGCAATCACTTTGCAGTTATCATCACCATTTTCTGTATCATTGTAATGGTTAGATTCCTTTTGCACTTCCACTATGATGTCAGCATCAGAGTTTATTGCACTGGTTATAATGTCATTATCTGCTTGAACACAGTGCTGCATCTCTGCATTTGAGATAATTTCAGTGTTGATCTTGTTATACCACTCAGATTCACTTGCAGAGTCCAAGCTTGCAGCTGTCTGAGAACTTTGAGTAATGGAAGCAGTTTCTGATTGTCTCTAGTGTAACTCGATTCCATGTTATGGCTAAACATCTTATAACATTCAGAAGAGAAATTGTATTCTGGTCACTATATCCAAAGCCCCGTAATACTTGTATCAAAATGAACTTTCTATCATGGCAGTTAGAATTAGTCCTTGGTTCATAGATAAAGCACACTAGTAGTGTTTGATGGAAGAAACACAAGTTTAATGTTACTCAGTTTGTGTTCTATACAGGTGTGGGGCAATTATCTAACACAAGGAAAATTTTATGATCCTTACCACACAGTCCAGGAAATCAACTTTTTCTTGAACAGTTAAGATGTCATTCATGCATTTTTGTTTGCTAAATAATGTACAGGAAGAGATCTTTTGTTTTTAAAATACCAGGATTTTTTGATTTTTCTATCACCATAAATTTTCTTTTCTCACTGCAATCCATATTAGGAACAACTAGAACATTTGTTCCTTTGACAATTTTCTACCAACATGTTTTTCTTCCTTAAATTTTAAAGTCTTATCAGGACAAGATTTTTTTATTATCTATAAAACAATTCAATCACGTCTCCATTGACAACGTCTGAATCATTAAATCCTGCATGAAGCTTAGGCCAGTCATTTTGTAATAGTCAATTGTTGTCTGTAAGTTTACTTTAGCTGATTCTCTGCAAACTTTACCAAATGTAATGTCATGATGATGTTTAAATGATCAATCCAATCATTGCTGCAATTAAGGTTTTCGATTGCCAACAACTGTTCAAATTCTTTGATTTTAACTTTTAAGATTGAGGCAATAATTAGAATGTTTAGACACTGCTGCTTTGTGAACAAATTTAAGGTCACACAATCCAAATCTTCATGTATAGGTTTCCTTACCTTCTTAACATTCTTTCTTGATTCATCAAATACTTTTTGTATTTTCTCACAGTCTTTCCACATTGTGTATACAATCGAGTTGCTCAGGCCAAAGTCCTTACAAATCATAACCTTTTTTGCATCTCCTTCAATTTGTTTTATGTTTGAAACTTTGTCTTCAATGGAGAGATTTTTACACTTTAGCATAATTTTATGTATTTGCAAAAATGATTAACCATTGAAGGAAGAAAATCTGTAACTTCCTTGACTGAATCCTTCACCAAGTTATCAATCAGCAGAAACACTCCAGTGGACCCAAGAGGTTTCACACCAATGTGTTTACCAATTAGCAAAACCATGCCTGTGCATTCTTTCACCATGCTTTTTCTACTAAAACTAAACTAATACTACAAAACTGATTAGAAAAACTGATAACATACAGTGTACTGTTAAATTATTTCCTTAAAAATAGGCTAAAACATCAATCTAAATGTTAAAAAATGTGGAAAATTTTGTCATTATAACCAAGTTTCAATATCACTATATCAGGATAAAACATAATGTTAAAGTATAAGGTTCTAGCTCGACTGTCAGTATTTAGTTATTATAGATGTCATTATAACTGTGTCATTATATCCAAGTTTGACTATATATATATATATTTTATAATTTTATAAATTTTTTTTTATTAATACATAATTGATAACACAACTTATAATTATTTTTAATATGAACATTTTGGCCATCATGACTATTCATATTAATGAGATTCAACTACATATAATACATTATTATTTCAGCAACAGGTCTTCAATCTTTGTTATAATTAAAAAGGCTATGAAATGTTTCAGAGATAAGAATCATTTGCTTAATAATTTGTAAGGGAAAAAATAGATATACACCAAAAATATAGATATTGATATAATAAAGAAAATTTCACTTATGCTATGCCATTAATGGATACTTTAATCAGATGCATACTTTTAGGCTTATAATTCTTTTGAAAGTATTATTAATTACTTGAAAATTAGATTTATAATACTAAAGATGGCTAAACATAGCAATTAAAATGTTTATAACTTTTAACTTTATCTAATCAACAGTAGTTTAATTTAAACAAAGATATTATTGTTAAAATCATATTAAATTATATTATACAGTGCAAACAGTATTGGAAATAGGTTTATGCATGAAATTACTTTTATAAATACAGTAGGTGATCAGTTAACGAACATAATCAGTTCCAAGACTTTGTTCACTATCTGAATTGTTCGTTAACTGATTATCGATTTATCATAAGTTTTTATGAGAATTTGATTAATTCATTCTGAAGACTCCAAAAAATAAAAAATATATACTTTCTTACTACATTTATTTATATGTAATAATAGAAATACATATATACACTGTCTTGCATTTTTATTAGTCATGTTTTTTCCATTTGTGGGGTGTTAAAGAATCTGTCTAATGTTGATTGCTTTTCTCTCTTCTTCAAGATTTTTCAGAAGTAATTAATAGTATTGTAATTGTATATACAGTCGACCCCACTATAAGATATAAATACGTTCCAATTTATTAGGAATCCGATTTCTTACAAGTCGTTCCAATCACAGCCCGACACGTGTCAAGTTTACGGACTACGGCTGATTGAAAGGTTTTCTTCCATAAAATTAATCGATTCTACACTAATCCGACTCAACATTTCCAAAATACGTATATTTTTTCGTAGTTTTATAGGAATCGTAATTATAGGGACCGTAATTATAGGGGGGTCGACTGTATCCCTAAGCCTATTAACCTCAACCTGGTTTGAATGCCATTCTAAGACAGTTATTTTGGCATCATCCCACTTCTTCAAAAAAATGTTTAATAGCAGATATCGACATTAATTCTCTTTTTCAGAAGAAAATATATCTCGCTGAGTTTCTTGGTGTTCTTCATTCAAGAGTTCTTGGTGTTCTTCATTCAAGAGTTCTTGGTGTTCTTCTGTCGTCAGATCTGTTTCAGGTCCCATTATGAGCTCTTCAATGTTCTTTATTTCTCAGATGTGATTTTTGTTACTCCTTTAGCTGATTGAGTCTTCTTGATAATACAATATCTTTCTTGGATAAGATTGAATTGTGGCCTACTGTAGAACTATTTAAGCCATAATTTCCAGCAACATCAGACATCTTCTGCCCACTCTCTACCTTTGCTATTATATTCTCACTTTTCAAAAATAAAAACAGATACAAAACTTAACGAGTGCCTGCTCAAATACTATAAAAGAATTGTTTCTGACAGAAAAATAAACGACTGGAATTACAAGAAAGAGTTTCAAAATTCAAAGGAATACTATCCAATCAGTATATACTGGGATGTGTCGATGTTGACGTCTCCCACGCTCTGAGAAGTTCCGAATTGTTGCCTGAAGAAAAGGGAAAGCCAATCGGTATTCATTATTTTACATTGCTTCTTCTTGTGTTTGTTCTGTGAGGTGTTCATTGTCCGAACATAAAAATCTTTTGCAAAAGTGTTCGTTATCCGATCACCCACTGTAAGTCTAATAAGATGTACAGTACATTACATGCACAAAGATTATTTTATTTATTTACTTATACTTAACCATAACAAAATACAGTAATATGGTTTATCAATTATAATCATTAAATATTCATCATAAATTTTCTTTATATATTTACTTTAAATTTTTGGTTAAAGAGGGACATATGCCCCTCTGTCCTCTGAATACACCTATAACAGCAGGAATATAGCAAAAGATTTCTAACCTAAACACCAACAACCCAAGGTTGTCAAGTGATTAGTGTAGGATTGATAAATTAATAAGGTTGTTTAGGTATCAGTAAACAAATTTATTTTTATTATATTTTTAAATATAATAAAAACAATAATATGTGATTGATACATCTTTAAATTTCATTACAGTACACAAAACACAATTTTGAATTTTGATTTATATATAATAAGAAAAATTATTATTAATTCCTACTTGATTTTTTATTTCATCCTATTTGTAATTTATTCTTATTTTATAAAGAAAGGAGTCAACAAATGAAATAAAATTTAAACAGATAATCAACAATGTGCAATGAATCTAAAATTTGATTTATAAAATAACGAAGTTTATTAACTGATTAAATAACACATTTTTCGTAACAGATTCTTTTACAATATTCCATATTATCTTGCCTTGTTAACAAATTTTTTTTTAATATGAATTTTTAATATTCATTTTTATTTTAAAAATGAATATTAAAAATGATACTAATTAACAATGCCATTATTTTTATTAACAATCATAAAACACTGTATTGGAGAAGTAAAAAAATTATTTGCAAATGTTGCTCCTTGGATAGCTTTAAAAATGTCAAAAAAACTGAAAACACAACTTTAAAATTATTATTATAATCATTCCTAGTAAGTTAATATAAACTTATCAACATTAATAAATGTTTAGTAAGAAAAATGTTAATGATTCCATTTATATCCTTTTTATACATATACATACAGGGTCTTCCAAAAAGAATACTACCATTTTAAATTTCTGTAATTATGTTAATTATTACCTGAGAACATTGTAATGTACATTAATTAAAGCATTGGAAAACTGTCCAAGATTCACATTTACCCATTATAGTTTCTCAATGTGTAAACCTCATGTCATAAAACACACATCCAACTGATATTCAAATTCTTCCTATGCTCACTATAGCATATCCACTAAACTCCTCCCATAGCAACCACATTCCTACAATTCCTGAAGATTACTCATATTGCACAATAATGAGTGATTCCAATTTTGCAAAATGTAGAGCACAAAATGCCTTCTGTGTTGTGGAGTTTCCATTTTTGTTTACAGTGCTTCCTAGAGATAGTTGACAACAAGACATTTGAATGCAGAAGAGAAAGTTACTCTATCAATTGGTATGCATCGCATACTTCTCAGATAATAATTAACATAATTACAAGTAATTTAAAATGATAGCATTCTTTTTGGACGACCCTGTATACATATATATTGTAAATATCAGACATTTACAAAAAACAAAATTATACAAATTTCAATTTTGCTTGTTAAATGATAAATAACAATAAAGATTTAGCTTTATCTAAAATATTAATCTAATGTAAATAATTATTTTTAGTATTGCTTAAACAAAACTCAAAATACTTACTAATACACCAAAAGCAATGCAAATAATGATGGCAATTCCTGATAGTTGATCAGCCATTACTTTTTTGTTACATTAAATATATTTACAAATATATCTCAGTCATACTTATATGAGATATAAAAATCGTTCTATCTTCTTTTAGAATTACTGAAATAAAAATAATTTTCATTATACAAAGAGTTTTATTTGTTAATTAAAAACAAAAAGTTATTTTAAAATAATCATTTAAAATTTATCATGAATCTAATCTTGATATAATCTTTTATAAAAATCATAAAGATCAAGTTAAATTTTTCAAAAATATGTTCAAAGTCTATAATTTTAATGAAGTTTATTGTAAAGAAATATCAAAGATTATTCAAACTAAGAATTATAAATAGATATATAAACACTACTTTCATAATAAGGTTTACATTATTAATGCTAATTTATTTATTAATTTATACACATTATAACAACAATTCATTTGATTAACATTCAAATATTTCATTACAATTCCTTAACTATAATAAAATTTTGAAAGATTATAAGTTTTCTATTCTATTATTATAAAATTATAGGGATACATTGATTAAATCTCTAACCTCAGAAATATTTAGAAATGATTTGATTTATTTGAAAAAGATTACAGTTAAACATAATTACTACATTTAATATAGTAGAACCCCGATTATCTGAGTCCTGATTAACAGAAATTCTGCATTATCCACAGTGAACCTGTAAGTAAATACACTACTTTTCATATAGTGTAATTCATAAAAGAAAATTTAAAATGATTTGTTTCTGCTACCTTTTATCATATAACTTAAAGTGAGATAGATCATTCATATTAAAATGTAACTAAAAACCCACATTTTTATTCTTATAACTATTGTAAGTATATTAGCCATATAATAAATCATATAAAAAGACATTGTTTTATATGATTAAATTTGCTAAGCTAGAGAAATTGCTTAAAAGTGATACCTAATATATTTTAATATTTGTAACTTTTAATCCAAAATAGTCATGGCTGTCTGTTTCATCTGAGTTCTTGGTTATTTGAGGTATCATCATTACCTCGAATAATTGGGTTTCTACTGTAATTATACACTCAAAGGTTTTTCTATAATTTTTAAAAATTATTAATAACATACTTAGATAGTAAACAAATCTTTATTAAGTCCAAAAAATACTTTATGTTTGTAGAGCACGTATTATTTTCACTGATGCAAGTCCTGATTTATTCTAAATTGTAAATAAAATGACTAAAGGAATGATATGTTCTTTAGAATGTGGTACAAGTACAAATTTGAATGATAAAAAATGGAATATAGATCCCAAGAATATTTCAAATAAAGTATTTTTTTGACTTCAATAAAAATTTGTGTTTATAATCTGAGCAATTACTGGATCTACCTTCAAGAAAGTAGTTCAAACAGAGAACAAACTTTGTCAGTATTAAAAATTTGGAACAAAAAGCTTGGCTCATTTTCAAATTTTTCTCTATGCAACTTGTTCATTTTTAGTAAATGTAAATTTTTGATTTGGTTTAGTGAGATACAGCAATGCAACACGTGGGTAATGAGCCAAGAGGGGTTCTCTCCCAGAGAACTTTCTTTGGAAAACCGGTACCTATTTAGGCATTACACATGTAGTTTTCTTCACACGGGCGAGATTCAAACCCCTAACCGACCTCTGGCGTTCGACGGTTTTATCCGCCACCGGTAGCAAATGCATATTTCGCTCTACAGCATTTCTCTCATCTGCATCAACTTAATTAACAATTATTACCACATCCTCAATAAACAGTATTGATAATTTATAAAATGATACACTCTACTTTACTGTAATCATATCTTTCAAAAAGGGAGACCCGACAGTTTAGGAATTGACTCGATTTCCGTAATCCCAAATATCCACATCTTCCATTCCGTATTTATAATAATTCAGAAAGATTACAAACAATTACAGTTTGACAAAAGTTAAATGCACTTTGTATATTAAAAATCTAATTCATATAACCAATTATTATTATTATTAAACACAACTGAACAACTGATTATTCCTCAAGCTCTAATAGTTTATCAAGAACTATTTCATGTCATTATTTAGAAAATAATCTATTTTATGGACATAAATATGAAATTTCAACTGTAATATATTTATTAACAATTGTAAATTGATTAAATAAATTGAAAATTTAAAAATATATGTATTTTTTTTTTTTTTGTGATTTTACTTTCTTACCAAACAGTTAATTTCTCATCCTTCATATTTTCTTATAGAAATATTCTTTTATTCTCCAAATTTTTAACGAATAACGAAGATAAAACGTTTCTTTTTATAATACACCGTTACGTAGAGTGACGTTTCGACGAATAAATTAGTTACGGTTGAATTAAAACTCCGATAAATAAAGCAATCTTCGAGAAGTTTGAGACGAGTAAACTATTCTCAATTACTTAATAAATCCAAACAAACGTCGTCACATCCGAAACGTTTACAATGTCTACGGCTTCCTATTATTGACACCAGACTCCATGTTGTCCGTAAATCTACACAATACAGCTGATTAGTTATTATATAAAATTGCTTGAATTATGAATATTTTATATAATTAATCTCTTGTATTCGTATATATATTATAAAAATTATATTTATTATATATTTTTTTTTTCATTCATTCCCCTATAGGTACTGAGGGCTTTCTATTTTATCAGGCCCATTGACAACTCGATTATCCGACAGTTGGGTTTTTAGTTTTAAATAAACTCCCATATAATCACTTTTACGTTATTGTATAGTATTTATTTATTTATTTTTAATCTTTCTGCTCTGTGAGCATTATGAGGGCCCTTTTAGTAAGCTTGTTATGGGTTCGGACAGACGTAATGGGGCCGATAAATTCGGACGAGAAATTCCGGGCCCACCAGAGGAATAGGATGCCACCTTAACAGCTTGGCCATCCGGCTGGCTACTGTATAATATTAGCAAAATACAGTATACATTCAGTCGGTGTAACCAAGATTTTGAGACTATGATTGCTGCTGAAAACTGATTCGGGAAATACCAAGGCATTTACTCTTTTATTTAATGAAAGTCACATCTTATGTGACCGCTGATTCATAAGTAACTGAAGACACAACATAATACAATATAAATAAAAATATAAATTTTAATTAAGGAAAAGTTTGGAAATTTACTAGTGTTTTTGTTTTTTCCTTTTATTTTGGGATACCAGAGTCTCTTTGTCTTCCTCTGGGTGCACCTCCTTGTTAGTTTTGAAGAACTATTAACCAACGGAAAGCCACCGAAGAGTCAATCAGGGTGGCCAACAGAAAACCAGAAATATAATGCAAAATATAAGTGTGATCCCTCGGTTCATCCACTGGGTCACTTATAAAAGGCATTAAGAAGACTTTTTAATTAATATTATCTAAAACTGGCCAAGCGGTTAAAGTGTCCAATTACTGCACTGAAGTACCAGAGAACGAATCAGGACTGGTCGCAAAACTCTAGGAATCTTTGAGGGTTGGGTCAGTCCTTCATCATCCACGACGGGCTTTTGTGAGGTTCTTTCAGATCTAATCGTCTCTGTCGTTCTCTTCTTGAAATTAACCTTAGCCACTTCAAATAAACATTTACGAACCTTTTATTTTCTTTCAAAAACAGAACATCGAACATTTTTACAGATGCTAACGAATCTTTTTTTCTTTTAGAACATTGACGCAAACATGGCATTCGAAATGTTGTCATCTTAAATAAATACGAATGTAAACAAATCAGTTTTAACGGCTTAACTAAAAGGTTCTCTTAGTGCCCACAGGAGGAAGAAATAAGAATTATACGCATTATAGGTTCGGCCATATCCAAAATGAAGCGGTGGGATATGAGGAACGGGATCCGACATATCCGGGATAGACCAGACCGTCCTCTCAAAAAATACCGGACCTTCTAAGATAATAATAGACGTGAAATGTGTTGAAACTAGAATGAAAAGTTTTGCTTTATTAATTTTATAAATTTTATAATTACTTCTGAATTTTTGTGTATTTTGATGTTTTCTGTCTATTCAAACCAAATCAAATACAATAGTGACTATGTTTATATATCGCATTTTCCGCCCAATAAGAAGCACTCATAATTTTGCAAAGGTTATTTAGGGAGGAAATTGGTACACTTTCAGTGACCGAGTGGAAAATCACTGAACACTAGTCGTGGGGTCGCGCCTCACCAACAAACTTGTCACGTGGAGTTTTCTGGGTTTACCTCAGATGTCCGATACCCAAATAGGAGCCAGTTTTCCATAGAAAGTCTTCCTGGGAGGCACCTCTTCCTCTTTGGCAGATCGCCCTCGTTTTGCGTTGCTATATCCAATCAAACCAAACCAAACTTAGCATAATTAATGAATAACATAGTCTCTTTTGATAACTTACGGAGATACAGACATTGCGGAAAATAGAATGGAACTCTGTCAGTAAATGTTGCTCTTATTAGTTCTTCAAAAAGCCTTTAGGTTTGATTTTTAACTCCTTATATCACAAAGAAAGTAAAGAAATAAATCAGGAAAATTTATTTATTTTTCCAATATTGATAAATAAATGGCCTTATTGTAAATCTAGACCTACAAAATCATATAGTATGTCATTTCATAAATTTGCAATAGCTATAGTCCGCGCAGCATTAACGCATGAGTAACGTTTAATTGAAGTGACATCACTCGCGACGTTGATCTCAAGTTGAATCTTTCCATATACAGACTTTTTTTTATAGACTTTTCCAGACTGATGCGTACTGTACATTCTGTGCGCATCGGTTTCACCCACAACCGATGCATCTTAATAAGCATTTACTGGTGCTTCTGGCAATCTAACAAAATGGCGGAAGCAAACATATATATGGGCGTTTACAGACTACTTTGTCAAAATGGTTAATAAAGATGAGTTGTAAAAATAGTGTCAACGATATAACCACGGAGACGGCCATTTTAGGGGAGAGACGTACAATACCGACCTTTACTTTCGCTACTAGAGCTTAGTAGTAGCATTCTACAGACATACGCAGAAGAATATAATCGATATAGTCATATACTGTACTTTGGGGGCTAATTTGTTTGGTTAGGATTGTAAGAACCACGAGCCAGAGAATGTTCTTGTTGGTATTTAATGCACCAAAAGTTATTTTTGCGGCTTTAATTCTACTTTGAACGAGTAGTTAATTTCATTTTAAAATTTATTTTGTCTATAGTAATATTAGGTTAAGATAAAACGTATTATTTTCACAATATAAAACGGTATACAACGGACAATCTCCAAAATGTTACCGCGTGGCAGTCGTCCAATACAGATCAAAAATAATTTTTAAGATCTCAGTTTGTTTGCTTTCTTCTCAATTTAGAGAGAAATAGCAGCAAATAAAGTATAATAGATAAAGAGGAAAGTAAAATGGACCAAAGTTGGCATGAAAATGGCAATAGATGAAGTTCTTGTCGCCAGTTTCGACATTTTCAGTTTCAAAAACAACATTAATAAATCGATTGAGAGCAATCCAAGTTGGCAAAAATATGAGTATGGTCTAATATTATTGTTAATTGTCTACTTGGACATTATTTATTAATAGGACGTAATACTGGTGTTTAAAGATTGACACAGCAATGAGAGTTAGTTCAGGAAAGAGCAAAATTTCTTTATTATATCACCTGTAGTAATAGTTTCTGAAATACTGGTGTTTAAAGATTGACACAGCAATGAGAGTTAGTTCAGGAAAGAGCAAAATTTCTTTATTATATCACCTGTAGTAATAGTTTCTGTACACATATTACACGTGTTTCGGGCTAGCATGCCCCTCATCAGCAGTACTACTACCACACACTAAAAAGTAACAATAATAAAACAAGATAAGTTATTGTATAAGTTAAAATTTTTTACATAGCCATAAAAATAATTTTAAAAAAATTCACTGTAAATACATACTCCAAACCCGAGTATAAATGTATTTTTCTCGTTGTATAATCAATTAACAAGTTAAACATTTCACTGTATAAATAAATTAAAATATAATAAATAAAGGTTGTAAATTATTAAAAACTAAAAACATTACATAGGAAAACCAAAAGAACTCACATCAAGGTTCAAATTTTCGCAATTCAACAGTATTATGGTAGAGAGACTTAACTATGCTTTTTTTATAAACGTCATCTAGTATGGTGCTCCAGGATTGGTAGATTATACGACCCAAATTATTGTTTATTTTATTTATTTATTTCTTTATGTTTAAATGTTCGTATAATTGACGTTTGTAATTATTTGATTCTTTTTTCTTTATTTTTATAGTATCTTTGTTGATTTGGCACCCATAACTTTAAGTATTAAGTCCTATTAATAAATAATGTCCAAGTAGACAATTAACAATAATATTAGAATTTAAAAGGACAGTAAGGCTTTTACAATTAAAATATGAGTATGGTCCTTCAGATGGGTTGATTGCAAAGGATTTTCGATGATGAAATGGAAAACAACTACTTTTTTATGCAAGATTGGGATTAAAAGTTCATCCAAGAAGACTGGGTATATTGTATTACATGTAAGGATTCGGCACGTATCAAATTCTCCGATCAAGAAAATATTTACTATTTTATTTGTGACAATTGTAAGCAGTGAAGTTCATTGAAAAATATTTTTAAGATTTGTTCCTATGTTTTCATAGAATTCACTTTTTCAAATAAATATTATTATTGGTACAGTATTATTGGTACAGTACAATAGTACGTTTCTCTACTATTGCCAAAGAATTTAGTTTTTCTATTTGCTTGAATAAAAATCACTAAAACAATTTATATTATCATTTAGATCTTAATATCCCTTAGAACAGTATCCGGTCGGTACTGGATGATAACATTTGCACTACCCGAAATTATGACTATTTTTATGTTAGAAATAATTAGTACTTTAAGTAAATTTTTAGCAAAATCTTATCCTGTACGTTATGAAACACTATTTGAGGTATCGTATTAATGTTGTAAAACCAATTTTTCCCGAGACTTACATTGGGCGAGGAGCGCCCGTACATTGAAGCATTTGGAACACTGTTCCCTTCTTGTCTTGATTGCCCTTTTCCTAATATTCAAGAGGCCCCAAACAATAGAAAATTCCTGACTTCTAGCCTATTCTGCAAATATAAAAGAAACTAATGAACGACATTTATCCATTGACCCATGTAACTTCGTCGTGTGTTGACCAAAACTCCATTCCTTGTTTTCAATTCCAAGTTAACCTCGAGCACTGCCTTATGGGAGCGCTGATCCGATATTAAAGCACAGAGTTTGAAGCTCCTTCAATAATGTACGATGCCCCTTTTTTATAACTTGTGTTTCTTTGTGTATTACGGGGCAAAAATATTAAGGTGGTCGGTACTGCACGACTCTCCCCTCCTTCATCAAAGGCAATCATATCCACAGGCCGATGAATACGATGTGAATCAGTCGCGGTATAGATAAACTCGTCGGTGAATATTGAAACACATTTTAGTACAGTACATATTCGGACGGTTCATTACCTGAAAATTTTCTGGGGCTTTTTCGATCCGTCCGGATTCTATCCCGGGTCCCCCAGAGCGGCAGGCTGCCACCTTGACCGCTCGGCCATCCTTCATATAGCTTTATATGTCCTCAAAGTTTCAGCTCTCTATTTTAAGAGCCGAAATATTCGAAACTTATCATTGGAGTTACTCGCACAGATTCGATTTCGGATCCCCCAGAGCAGTAAGTTGACGCCTTAACCGCCTAGATCAGGGGTCAGAAAACTTTATTGACTATCGATTCTTTCGAGGATTCTTTGACCTTTTATTCACCCTTTCTTCTTTTTATTAATACAATTAATAATAATAATAATAATACCGGAAATAAATAAATTTGGTTTGCCAGTATTAATTAATCCACATACCATTACATCTTCTTAGATATAAAGATGGTCACCTTAAGTATTAAGTTAATTAAGTTTATTATTGTTATTTTATTAAGTTTTTTTAATAAAATTTTTTATATCTTGTTTTTTTTTCATTAATTTAAAATATAATTTTATTTAAACCAATATTCCAATAGTCACAAAACCAATAATTTATTTTGGGAAGCGAAAAGTACAAACAGGATCTCTACTCATTTTGTACAGAATTTATATTCATCATATTTGCATAATTGTCTTCAAAATTAGAAATTAAAACTAATATTATACACAAAGGTTATGCTTATGGTCCACATTAGAGGACATCAATATGAATTTTTTATAAAGAGATGGTAATAGAGAATTATAAATCTACGTGAATTTTTGACCTAAGACGTGAGGAACTATATTTGTTTTCATTTCTTTCTTCGTTTTCTTTACTACTTTCGTGTCTTGTCCTCATTCCGGAAAAGATCTTTTTCATCTTCCACAGCTCTTCTGATGAAGAATTTTGCAACAGGAAGTTTAAAAATTAAATAAATTCTTCTTTGCAAAGATTTCTTTGCAAATTACATAACATAAAACTTTGTGAATGCAAATTTCAATTACAGCTAATGATAATGATTTTTATCAAAATTTCTTTCTTTATATAATGATAAAAGAGGCTAAGAGATTCCATTATATAATTAAAATTATCTAGACAAATAAATTTCTAATTTTCTACATTATAAAAGTTCAATGTTTATTTATTTATTTATTTATTTTCGAGATACGTTTTGACATAAATAAGGCTTTAAGGCGCCTCACAAAATATATTTTCGGTCCTCGATTACTTTATAAAAGTTATATAAAGTAATCCGTAATAACAAAAAGAATGAAAGTCACATATACATTTATATATATTTATATATATATATATAGATTAACGCATTTCTTTCGTTTTTTTCAGTATTAAGTATTTTTTATGTTTAATTAAAAATTNTTATATATATATATATATATATATATATATATATATATAATTATTCGAATCAACGACATTCTTTAAAAGAGTCGATAAAATTATTATTTTCCGTTATTTTTCTCTGAATTTAAATTCATTTCGCTTTTATAATAAAGAGTTTAAAGTGATAACAATCGCAATAATCTCTTAGCCTATACAGAATACTATTATAAAACGTATTTAAAACCATTTTCGTTTCTTTTTTTTTTTTTTTTTTTGTTTGTTACGAATAATTTAGGAGCGGTATAACTGTCACTATAAATCTTCGTATCGGAATGGTAAAGCGTAAAATAATACAGAATAAATATATTTATACAATGTTTTGTTACGGTGGCTGCTTCCTTTCTTCTATTCTGTACACTTTTATGTACAACTGGACATTAAAAGACACTTCCAGAGTATTATACATTGCGTGCTCTCCTAAGCAAAAGTCGGTATACCACGTGAACACTACGTATGGCATTTGAACACGACGTTCTTCCGTCTTTGTTCTGTCGACATGTGAATGTTACTTATCATTTGTGTAACTCATTCTGGTAACACAGGTTTATAACCGCATTCAGCACAATGACGAGAAGCCAACATTTTACAAGAAAAATGATGCAAAGCGTCGTGGGCTTCTGAAAAACAAAGAAGGCGGTTTTTTTTTATTTCTAATACGTTTAAATACTATTTTTAAAATGGTAAGTTTATTATTTTAAATATAAATAATTTAATTAATTAAAATTTATATAAGAAAGCGATTTAAAAGTATTATAATTATTCGTATTTTTAACCTTTTAATTTTTGTTGAACGGCGAATCTGGCTTTCCGTTCTTGATCCAACTCGTGACAAAGGGCATCTGAAAAAAAAGAAAGAAAGAAAGAAAAATAATTAAATTTAATTAAATTAATTAGTAAAAAAAGTTTATTTAAGTATAAAATTATTTAAATATTCATTTAGCAAGTGAAGCGAAATGTAACCAAATTCGGAAATGTTTGAAAATCCGTTTAAGCTCAAGGCGTTGTTCATTAAAAATGTTCCTCCTCTTTTTTTTTTTTTAATAATAGAAAACGTTTATCAAGATTATTTTCTTTCGGCTACATTTAAAGTAATTACATAGATTTTAATTATAAAATTGAAAGTTTTATAAATTTATGGTATGATTTTAAATTATTTTTTTTTTTCAGTAACGAATATCTTTAATTTATAAATAAATCATTTTTTATTAAAATAATTAAATGTATTCGAGCTTTTATATATTAATAAAAATAATTATATTTAATTAGAAAATATATTAACTAATATAAGTAGATATTTCATTAATTAAAAGTCAAATTTTCAAAGAGCTTGAATGTAGTATTTGTATATACGAACACAAAGATTTAGATTATTATTATTATTTTATTATTAAATTTATTATTAAAATGAAAGATCGTTATTAAAAATATAATATGTTTTAAGTTAAGTTTTCAGTATTTAATTCACTATAAGTTCATTAAAGAGTAATAAAATACAATGATTATAAATTTTCTCAATTTTCATTTGTCTATATTTGAGGTGGAACGTTAGCGAAGTCTTTTCTATATGGATTACAGAATTGTGTTCGTTCTCAAAATTTGATCGATCGATTTTGATTAAACTTTGTCATTTTCCATTAATTGACATGGGGAATCTATAAATGTAACAAAAAACAGAGGTCCATGGCTTTGTTTTCGAGATACAGTGGGGTTAAATTAAAGCTAATCACTGTCAGTTTCACAATCCGGGACAAATGACCCCTAACCCCGAATTCCCGGAATCTTCCAGAGATGTATGATGACGCCTTAGACACCGGATTGTATGATGATCTCAGTCTTATATATATTTAATATTTGTATTTAATATTGTATAGGTTATATATAATTGTTTATATAGGTATATTGTATTATATAGATCCATCGTTTTATCTAGATTTCAAGATCTGGGAGCAGATTCAGCATTAATGGGATGGGAGGTCTTCTACAAAGGAAAAATTTTAATGGTTTTGTAAACGGTATAACATTAATTCCCTAAAGGAGCCAAACATACTGCTGCAGATTCTACATAAAAGTTATATGAATAAGTTTATTAAAGATTTATAGACGGTTTCACTAATACTTTATTTTAAAACCCATGTGGCATTTGTCAATTTCTGCCCTCAATATGTACTATATATTAAAGTACAGCAGGACAGGAACTGTGTTGTACATTGTTTGCACTGTTGTTTGCTAAAGACAAATAAAATCTATGTAAAAACCTGGCCTTGATGCTTACATCAAATTATGTTTGTATTGGCTGCTGAATTTTCTTTGGACTCACGTTGTACAGTACACAGTTTCTAAAGTCTCAGTATCATTCAGCTTAGCAGAACTTTCTGTACTTTTAAACATGAGTTCGTTTAATTCTACGAGCACAGCTTTTATAATTGCTTGCTTGGACTAATTTCGGAGAATTTCTAACCTATCGAGTGGACTAAACGGCACCATATCTAATCCTGGAAGTGACAAGCATTAGTAAAATGTGGGCGCCATCATCGCAGTGTACGACCTAAACTGTGATCAGTTATTTTTAGATTAGAAGTTACAATATGAACATCCTAACGGGTTGAATGTCAGTTCGCATAGGCTAAATCGTGGCTTCTTATAGCATGAATTTGAACAAGGCTTGTATTTTGTTTAGTAATTTAATTTTTTTACAGTGAAATGTAACGTATATTAAAATAAGAAAAGGCCACAAAGCAAACGACCCATCGAAAAATTCCTAATTTTCCAGTGGGCCATTCCGCCATTGTTATGAGCTGTCGCGATTCTCCACGGTGTTGACAAAATGAGCTGAAGATGGAAATTATCAAACACTTCTTCGATATTAAAATAACGACAAACCAAAATTCGGATAATATTATTTTATACCATACAAAAATAATTAAATAATACTCTAGTAAAATTTAATATTCTAGTAGCGTATTTATTTATTTATTTATTTTAATGTTACGAAATGAATTAAACAATCTGAGGTTTTATTTTATTAGAATGTTTTCCATTAAAATAACTCACTTATATGAAATCTGTTTTCCTCCCTATGCACTTACTAAAATTGAAATTGTAGCTAAATGAAATGACTTAGAAAAGATAAATTTGGAATGTTGAAATATTTGCTTTAAAATTTGATATTTATTACAAATAATCTGTAATTTCATATTATTCTATAGTGTTTAAACCGGAATATTTTACATACACTGGATATTATCTGCATAATATATAACTTATATATTTTTTTCTGCAGTTGTTCATTCGCCCTATCTGTAATATTGTTTTCCAATCAGTAGATTGTGGTCTCCATGGAATTGTGTCGTGTAATCACTTAATTTTTCGAACAAGTATTTAATTATAAAATAACTGATGATATAAACCGTAATTTTTTCAATCTTCTCTACAATAGGGCAGAAAAAAAATTAAATTTATTCCATTAATAAACAATAATTTAGAGAATCTAAATTAAGAACGGAAAGTTAATAATTAATAACTTTTAAAAACGTTATAAACTTCTCAGTACTAAATTTTCTATAAACAAAAGTAACTTAAAACATCTCTTTTATATATTTTTCGTTTGAATATTTCTATAAGTATTAAATAATAATTAAATTTTATCGTTTAAAATATTCATATTAACTCTAAAATTTTCATTCGATGATACTCATAATCCTACGTAGAATATTTTATTTCTTATCAAAACAATTCAAAGCTTTTATTACAGTATTTATTTATAGAACTAATAAAAATTAAATATTATTTACACCCGAAAATGCAACATTTGCAGCTTTATCTATAATCAGAATTATTCACTTTGTTGGTCTCTCTTATTTTCCCTGGAGAATGGAAATTTATCTTCCATTTACATTGAAAAATCATTGAATGTGTCTATGAGGAGAGGGTGATACCTTATTTTAATACAGTAAAACCTGAGTAAACCGGAATTGCACGGTACTGAATATATATATATATATATTTGTTTTTTCGATTTGGCAGGTTTTAGTGTATATATTAGAATAATGCTATGGTCTTCGAGCAACAAACAGCTACATTCTAGATCTAAGTAACTGTTTTCTTTAATTTGTTATAATTGTATTAAAGATAGATACGAAGAGAAATAAGAAAAACGTATAGTAACATTAATACTGTATATAGTATCATAGTGGGAAATATAATAGGCCTACTCTTTCATGCTACAGAAGTAGCTTGAAAGAGTAGGCCTCTGTTGCCTTTAGCATTCTACAAAGCTGTAGAATGCTACAAGCAACAGAGTAAGCTACTTGTATTATCATTAATATATATAAATATCCGTCAGTTACTAATATTATTTTAAAAAATAAAATGGAAACGAATAGAAATCGTTAATTCCTTCGTATATATACTCATGTATTTTGTAAGCAAATTATATTAAAAACATAATCGAAATTATTTGATATGTACTAACATTTTCCTCGTGTTTAACACATAAAACTAAGCTGGAGAGAAAGCTGCCATTCTGAGAAATTCGTCACTTTTAAGCTCTAGATTTATAATTAAGGACGACTCTTTGTTACGCTACTGTTATTTTATCAAACAAAATATTTGCTTTTAGTAAAATTATTTTGAAAAAAAAAAAATTATTATTTCTCCTTTCATATCATTTTCCTCGTGTTTAACACATAAAACTAAGCTGGAGAGAAAGCTGCCATTCTGAGAAATTCGTCACTTTTAAGCTCTAGATTTATAATTAAGGACGACTCTTTGTTACGCTACTGTTATTTTATCAAACAAAATATTTGCTTTTAGTAAAATTATTTTGAAAAAAAAAAAATTATTATTTCTCCTTTCATATTCGATGGTTAAATAAATCATTAAAAATTTGTATAAAATTTCTTTGCTTTATATAAAATATAATTTGATAACTTAACATTTATTTCTCTTTTAATTTTATGTAAATTTGTATATAAAGAAAGAAAGACGATCATCTAAAACGAGTTAAAAATAAATAAATAAACAAATAATTGACCGATTTTTGTTTTTTTCTGGCGTTAAATTTTTATACTGTTACATTTAACTTATATTAAATACAATTTAATTTATATTTAAATTCTAAAAAAACACACACAACACACACACACACATTTTAAAATGTTTAACGTAAGAAATAAATTTCGATCGAATGTCAATTAAATAATTTAAAACGGTCGTAATTTAATTAATTGTTAAATTCGTTTTTTTTTAAAATAAAAAATAAATTATACAAATAATGAATTAGTAAATGTATATATAACAAATTGGATCTTCTTTGTTTTTTATTTATTAATTCGTTTCTTTTATAATTGCATTTATCTCGTTATTAAATGTAAAATTCTGAAGACAATTAAATTGATTTTTTTTTTTTTTACTTTTAGAATATTCTCAACAATTGAAAATAATCTGCAAAGTATTTGTGTGTGTGTGTGTGTGTGTTTTTTTTTTAATTAAAATATAAATCACTCCACGTTGAAACAAATACAGAACGAATAAAGGAATACAAAATATAGTGTCTATATAGAGAAACACAAAGAGAATCGACGAAAATTCTGTATTCTAGAAAAATCTGGGAAGTAAAATAAATTTATATTCTAAAAATAAATAAAATTTTCTAGAATACATTTGATTTTAGAACTTAAAATAGTTTTTGAACTTTTTTACCATCTAAAATTGGATTTTGTGACGTTTTATGTTATTCGTTTTAGAATTTCCTCCCCCATGTCTAAACATAAACATAAAAAAATATTCTAAGTAATAGAAAATTAGTATAATGCTTT